TATATATATATATATATATATATATATTACTGCGCATATTAATATATTGACACAGAGATAGTGATATATGTATTTTATTGTGTGTGAGAGTCCCTCGCTCTCACTTTCGAGTGGGTCGCTCAGAGAAACACAGATCCACCAGAGTACAACACATCCCAACAAGCATACAGAACAGCTAAACAATCCCATAAACAACACACTTCTCCTGAACACCACAATCTCAACCTGTGAGCGAGCGCGCACTCACTTTCTTTTCCGCTCTAACAATCTGAGGCTGCCACTGTGGAAGGAACCGCCACCTTATCCAGCACATGTTTTATGCAGCAGATGCCCTTCCAGGTGCGCCCCCTCACTGGAAAACACCCATACACACTCGTTCACACACACACACACACACACACCTGTCAATTTAGCTTAATCAATTCCCCTATAGCGCATGTATTTGAACTGGAAACCGGAGCACCCGAAGGATACCCACGCCAACACGGGGAGAACATGCAAACTCCACACAGAAACGCCAGCTGACCCAGACAGGACTCAAACCAGTGATCTTCCAGCTGTGAGGCGATCGTGCTACCCACTGCGCCACCGTGACGAATCGGTATTGACGAATCGTGACAAAATCGGTATTGTATTATTTATTTATTTAATATTTAAATTCATCAACATTAGACAACTGCGAGCTGTCATCAAATCTAATATCTACGTCTAGCGAGTGTACCCGCTGAGATTTTTTAAAGAACACCACACTACAAGACTTCTTTTTTTTTTGTCTAAATTTGTTTTTATTAAACCATTCTTGAATTAAAGTACAATCTAACTGAATATCTATCTGTCCATCCAACCATAAACTCAAGTAATAAAATATTAGTCAAAAATATCTATGTTTTGGTTAATTAAATTGGAAACAAAAATTGAATTGGAGTCTAAAAAACTTTTTAGACTCCCCAAAAAAGCCTATCGTAATGATATAAATCCTAAAACAATACGAATGCAGTGATGTAAATATACGATTTAATCTGATAGTATGCGCATCTGATGAGGCGTCGTATATACCAGTGATGAAAGGAATGAAAGAGGTCAGTGTTCAGAGTCTGAAAGCAGTCAGACTGAGTTTAACACACATGAATGTACTGTTTCATCAGACTGAGGTCAGAGGTCATCGTCATACCCCTGAGCAAACTCTCTCTTGCTCAAGTGGGGGAAAAGTTACTGAGCCAAAAATGTCTGTTCATCTATTCATCTGTGCGTCTATCTATTCTTTTTCTATCAGTTCCTTCACCCAGCTGTCCATCCCTGCCTCGCTCCCTTCCTCTATTCAACTATCCATCTGTCTGCCTGTCTGTCTGTTCCAAATGAGTCTCTGATAAATGACTTACTTATTCACATGATTTGTTCAGAGTGAATCACCGGTAAACATCTCACTGATTCAAATGATCTGTTCATAGTGAATCACTGGTAAACGACTGACTGATTCCATTGATCCTTTCAGATTGAATCTCTGGTGAGCAACTCTCTGAATCAAACAATCCATTCAGAGTGACTCTCTAGTAAACAACTCACTGATTCAAATGATCGATTCAGAGCGATCTCCGCTAAACAACTCACTAATTCAAATCATTTAATCAGAGTGAGTCTGTGGTTAAACAACTCAATGATTCAAATAAGTCGTTCAGAGTGAGACGGCGGTAAACAACTCAATGAATTAAAGATGTTTAGAGTGAGTCTCTGATAAACAACTCACTGATTAAAAAGATCCGTTCAGAGCGAATCTCCAATAAACAACTCATTGATTCAAATGATCTGTTCAAAGTGAGTCTCTGATAAACAACTCACTGATTCAAATGATCCATTCAGAGTTAGTCTCCGGTAAACGACTCACTGATTCAAATGATCCATTCAGAGTGAGTCTCTCATAAACAACTCACTGATTCAATTGATTCATTCAGAGCGAGTTTCTGGTAAACAACTCACTGATTCAAAGATCCATTTAGAGGGAGTCTTCAGTAAACAACTCACTGATTCAAAGATCCATTTAGAGGGAGTCTTCAGTAAACAACTCACTGATTCAAAGATCCATTTAAAGTGAGTCTCCAGTAAACAACTCACTGATTCAAGGACCCATTTAGACTGAGTCTCCAGTAAACAACTCACTGATTCAAAGATCCATTTAGAGGGAGTCTTCAGTAAACAACTCACTGATTCAAAGATCCATTTAAAGTGAGTCTCTAGTAAACAACTCACTGATTTAAAGATCCATTTACAGCGAGTCTCCAGTGTTGGAATATCTATCTCTATTCCATGCGTGTTCAATAAGAAAAGGTCTGGAGAGGTTTTTCTTCAATGTCAAAAATCGTAACAATTTATTAGATACAAATGAATAATTCGATGACAGAGCTCTGGGTTACGTTACCCCAATGCAATACAAGAGGTTTTGCAACTAACATACATTTCCTGACTCCAGCATAAATACACAACTGATCTTAACAGGTGGAGTTTTGGTGTAACGTCACTTGTCAGTCATTGTTCAGTCCTCCATTGGCCGCACCTTCGACATACTTCCTCTTTTTCTACGAATTCTCTGCACAACAACAAAGTATACATCTTTCTGTGTTCTGTGTTCAGTTTTAACACCTCTCTTCAGACAGGAAGTTTCTGCAGAGCTGAATTTAATTTTGGACCCGCATCTATCTACTTCTGCAAAAATGCTAATTAGTATGCACAGCACTCACACACAACACTAGAAGTTCAGTTAATATATGACCCTTACATGACCAATACAAATAATTGTTTGATTAAAAGAAAAAGAGACAAAAATAATAAAAAATTATTCGTATAATCCAACACCAGTAAAGAACTCACTGATTCAAAGATCCATTTAGACTGAGTCTCCAGTAAACAACTCACTGATTCAAAGATCCATTTAGACTGAGTCTCCAGTAAACAACTCACTGATTCAAAGATCCATTTAGACTGAGTCTCCAGTAAACAACTCACTGATTCAAAGATCCATTTAGACTGAGTCTCCAGTAAACAACTCACTGATTCAAAGATCCATTTAGACTGAGTCTCCAGTAAACAACTCACTGATTCAAAGATCCATTTAGACTGAGTCTCCAGCTAAAAAAACTCACTGATTCAAAGATCCATTTAGACTGTGTCTCCAGTAAACAACTCACTGATTCAAAGATCCATTTAGACTGAGTCTCCAGTAAACAACTCACTGATTCAAAGATCCATTTAGACTGAGTCTCCAGTGAACAACTCACTGATTCAAAGATCCATTTAGACTGAGTCTCCAGTAAACAACTCACTGATTCAAAGATCCATTTAGACTGAGTCTCCAGTAAACAACTCACTGATTCAAAGATCCATTTAGACTGAGTCTCCAGTAAACAACTCACTGATTCAAAGATCCATTTAGACTGAGTCTCCAGTGAACAACTCACTGATTCAAAGATCCATTTAGACTGAGTCTCCAGTAAACAACTCACTGATTCAAAGATCCATTTAGACTGAGTCTCCAGTAAACAACTCACTGATTCAAAGATCCATTTAGACTGAGTCTCCAGTAAACAACTCACTGATTCAAAGATCCATTTAGACTGAGTCTCCAGTAAACAACTCACTGATTCAAAGATCCATTTAGACTGAGTCTCCAGTAAACAACTCACTGATTCAAAGATCCATTTAGACTGAGTCTCCAGTAAACAACTCACTGATTCAAAGATCCATTTAGACTGAGTCTCCAGTAAACAACTCACTGATTCAAAGATCCATTTAGACTGAGTCTCCAGTAAACAACTCACTGATTCAAAGATCCATTTAGACTGAGTCTCCAGTAAACAACTCATTGATTCAAAGATCCATTTAGAGTGAGTCTCCAGCTAAAAAACTCACTGATTCAAATATCCATTTAGACTGAGTCTCCAGTAAACAACTCACTGATTCAAAGATCCATTTAGACTGAGTCTCTAGCTAAAAAAACTCACTGATTCAAATATCCATTTAGACTGAGTCTCCAGTAAACAACTCACTGATTCAAAGATCCATTTAGACTGAGTCTCCAGTAAACAACTCATTGATTCAAAGATCCATTTAGACTGAGTCTCTAGCTAAAAAAACTCACTGATTCAAATATCCATTTAGACTGAGTCTCCAGTAAACAACTCACTGATTCAAAGATCCATTTAGACTGAGTCTCCAGTAAACAACTCACTGATTCAAAGATCCATTTAGACTGAGTCTCCATTAAACAACTCACTGATTCAAAGATCCATTTAGACTGAGTCTCCAGTAAACAACTCACTGATTCAAAGATCCATTTAGACTGAGTCTCCAGTAAACAACTCACTGATTCAAAGATCCATTTAGACTGAGTCTCCAGTAAACAACTCACTGATTCAAAGATCCATTTAGACTGAGTCTCCAGTAAACAACTCACTGATTCAAAGATCCATTTAGACTGAGTCTCCAGCTAAAAAACTCACTGATTCAAAGATCCATTTAGACTTAGTCTCCAGTAAACAACTCACTGATTCAAAGATCCATTTAGACTGAGTCTCCAGTGAACAACTCACTGATTCAAAGATCCATTTAGACTGAGTCTCCAGTGAACAACTCACTGATTCAAAGATCCATTTAGACTGAGTCTCCAGTAAACAACTCACTGATTCAAAGATCCATTTAGACTGAGTCTCCAGCTAAAAAACTCACTGATTCAAATGATCCGTTCAGAGTGAGCCTGCGGTAAACAACTCACTGATTCAAATGATTTTTTCAGAGTGAGTCTCCGCTAAACAACTCACTGACACGTATAAATTTTAACTACATTTTTAATCTCAGCGGTCGGGTTAGTCCAGAGACGGGCACACTCTGTCCTGGAGGCCCGGTGTCCTGCAGAGTTTTGCTCCAGCCCTGATTAAAATTCACCTGAACATGCATCTCATATCAGTGTCTTCAAGATCACCGCAGACCTCCAGGTGTGTTTGATATGGAGATAAATTCTGCAGGACTGAGCTTGATCATCCCCGGGTGAGTCCATATTTGACCCAGCGTTGGGTTAAACCAACTCAGCAGTTTTTAGAGTACTAAAGGATCAGCTCATGAATAACTCAGTCTTGTGTGTGTGTCGATCAGTTGTGAACAGCACAGAAGGTCTCTCATTATTAGTGTTAGTTCATCATCTGCAGTGTCCACTGAAATCCCTGCCGGTTTACCCGCTCACACTCTCACGCATCATGTTTAGAAGCTCTGCCTATGTCTGCTCTGTCTGTACATAATGTTCCATCATCTTACATGTCAATAAAGCACACTGAACAGCAAACACACACGGATGCATTTTCCTCATCACACACACAAACACACTCACACACACACACACACACATGTGGATGAAAAGCAGATGATTAGCGTGAATAAATAACCTCGAGCATCACCTGCGCCTGACAGACAGACGGGCGGATGCAGAGGCTCTGGACCAGGAGAGGGCGTGGCCCGAGGAGAGGAGAGAGACGCTATTGGCTGGAGATCTGCTGATGGAGTGTGTGTGTGAGTGTGTGTCTGTGCGTGTGAGAGTGTGTGTGTGTGTGATGGGGGAGGGAGGAGGATTTTGAAGCTTCTGTTCCGCAGGAGATGGAGGGGGTTGGCGGGGGGGCGAGAGAGTATTACCGGGTGCGCATGCGCTCAGCGCGTTTTTACTGCAGTGTCTCTGGATTAGTGCGCGCGCTGCGGCACTCCGCTCGGTTCACAAACGGGAAGAGCGAGAAAAACCGACCGACCGAGCCGCGATAAGACCCTCGCTCGCATCCATCAGCACAACCGGATCCGTCGCGTTTATTCCAAGCGGTTATAAAGGCGGAGCGCGCACCGAGAATCTACCGGAGACATGGCCAAAGAGGACGAGAAGAAGGAATCCGGGTCATGGAAGGACTTCTTCTGGAACCCGCGGACGCACGAGCTGCTCGGGAGAACGGCGAGCAGCTGGGGTGAGTGTCCACCGCTCTCTCTCTGCGTTATATAACGGAAGAACACCGGCGTTTCATTCATTCCCAGCGCTTTACCGGAACGTATTGCGCAATGCGTCTGCTGTGTATCTCTATATGTGTGTGTGTGTGTGTGTGTGTGTGTGTGCGGAGAAGGGCCCAACATGTTAAAGGACAATCTGACGAAGCTGTTGTTGCGCGCTCTCGTGCGCGCGCGCTCCTTCGCGTGCGTCTTTAGAGGTGAACGGGTGCAATGTGAATGAATGAGATCAAGCGTTTGACTGAGGAATCATCTGGTCTGAGTGCGTTCTGTTCACGTGCATCGATCATTCCGATCAGTGATCGATCAGGGAATGGTGGCTGAGCGCGCGCAAGGTTATTCGGTGAGTGTCCTCCGCTCGCGCGCGCTCACGTGACGTGACGTGATTTCGCTCATATCCGGAGCAGCATCATCCATCAGCGGTTATATAACGATATACAGGACACACACACACGCATATGCATCTGTCTCCACATTGATCTCCAGTGTGTGTGTGTCATGAGCCCTTTGTGTGTGTCATTTAATATGTGTACCATGTTCCAGCAGTAAGTGCATTAATAATGCATCATTATAGTTTAATGCAGCTGTGTGTTCCAGTAAATAACTTTTAGCTGAGTCACTGACTTTAAACAATGTGTGTGTGTGTGTGTGTGTGTGTGTGTGTGTGTGTGTTGCACAAATGTCCTGATGTGTCTCGCTCTATAGCAGCTTTCCTCTGATCAATCTCATATGTCCAAAGATGTTTGGAGCAGCCTTTCAACAATATAATCAGACACGTCAAATTAATTAAATACGACAATAAATAATAAGACAATAAAATCAGATATTTTTCTAATTTTCCATCGAAACCAAACAGTTAAAACAATCTCACAGAGAATCACTGAAGTCATAATGAAATCTGAGGGAACACAAGCTAAATTCTGTGTCCTATCTCTATAATATCTATCTAGTACACAATAATTATCAATAAATATGAAATATTGAATAGCCAAACGATTCCTTAGTCGCTTCAGATTAGGCATCTGCTTAAAGACTATATATTTGACATTTAATATCTCATCCGAGTGAAAATAAATAGTCTTATTAACATTGAAGAATAATGCAAAGCTTATAGATTATAAATCTGAGCTCTGCCAATGATATTAGCTTTAATAGGCTCTGAATATTCCTCATATCTCAATGCATTTTGCTATTTATTTTCACACAGATGCTTATTTTAAACTCATAAACTCAGCCATGCATTAATTTAATATAGAAATATGTATCTAGATGCAGTCTGGACACACACTTGCTTATATTAATATTATAATTCATCTAAACTATACACAGAGGCTCAAGTCACACACACACACACACACACAGAGGCACAAATCAAAGGCAGATCAGGGTGTGAGTGTCTTATATTATGTCAGATGAGTTCACTGGCCAGCTTTTATATGTGTCTTGCTGTCTGATTGGTTGAGAGCAGAGATGACATCATAGGAAAGTAGCCAATGGGAGGGGGAGACACTAATCTGACTCCCTTCCCCCACTCAGTGAGAGAGAGACTGATGGAGAGACATATAAAACAAAGAGGACAAACACCAGAATAATAATAATAATAATAACGACAGAAGAAGAATGAAAGATGAAAGACAGAGAGAGACAACGAGTTTGTAGACAGACAGACAGATTTATTAATGCTTATTATTATTTATTCTGATGAGCAAACTTAATAACTGTCTACAAGAAAACAAGTGTAAGATTTATTATTATTATTATTATTATTTACTCATTATTATTATTATTATTTATGTATTTGCTACTATTATTATCTATTTATATATTCATTATTATTATTTATTCATTATTAATACCTATCTGAGAGAACAGAAAGAGTTATTATTATTTATGTATTTTTTAATATTATTATTTATTTATTAATATTATTTATTTATTCTGCTTTGCAAAATTAACTTAGAGAAGGACATTTATTATTATTATTATTTATCATTTTTTATTATTTTTTTATTCTGCATGCAAACATAACTGTTTGAGAGAATGAGATTTATTATTATTATTATTATTAGTAGTAGTAGCATTAGTAGTAGTAATGATTCTGCTATGAAAACTAATATCTATCTGAGAGAACAAGTAGAGAGAAAAAACATTTATTATAATTTATTTATTATTTAATATTATTATTTATCTATACATTTATCATTGTTAACTACTTATTTGTTTTTTATTTATTTTGCTATGCAAACTTAACTTATAATTATTACTTATAATTATTAGTTATTATTATTAGTTACTTTTATTCTTATTCTTATTATTTATTATTACAATTTATTTTTATTCTGCAATGCAAACTTAACTGTCTTGAGAAAACGAGGTTTATTGTTATAATAATAATAATAATTATTATTATTATTATTATCTATTCTGCTATGCAAACTTAACTTAAAAGACATTTATTATTATTAATATTAATTTTTTTTTATTATCATTTTTTTATTCTGCTATGGAAACTGAATTGTCTGAGAGAATGAGGTTTATTAAAATTATTATTATTATTATTTTTATTATTATCTATTCTGCTATGCAAACTTGACTTAGAGAAGGACATTTATTATTATTACTATTATTATTTATTATTATTTGTTTATTTATTATTGTTATTATGAGCTATTATTATTATTTATTAGTATAATTTCTTTTTATTCTGCAATGCAAACATAATTGCAAACAATAATATATTATTGTTATTATTATTCATTCATTTTCTTGTCGGCTTAGTCCCTTTATTAATCCGGGGTCGCCACAGCGGAATGAACCGCCAGCTTATCCAGCTAGTTTTTACACAGCGGATGCCCTTCCAGCCACAACCCATCTCTGGGAAACATCCACACACACATTCACATTCACACACTATGGACAATTTAACCTACCCAATTCACCTGTACCACATGTCTTTGGACTGTGGGGGAAACCGGAGCACCCGGAGGAAACCCACGCGAAAGCCAACTGAGCCGAGGTTCGAACCAGCAACCCAGCGATCTTCTTGCTATGAGACGACAGCACTACCTACTGCGCCACTGCCTCGCCCTATTATTATTATTATTAATATTATTATTACTATCATTATTTTTATTAATATGATCTATTCTGCTATGCAAACTTAAATACATTTTTTTATTATTACTATTATTATTTATTATTATTTTTTTTTTATTCTGCTATGCAAACTTAATTGTCTGAGAGAATGAGGTTTATTATTATTATTATTATTACTATCATTATTTTTATTAATATTATTATTATCTATTCTGCTATGCAAACTTAAATACATTTTTTAATATTACTATTATTTATTATTATTATTATTTTATTCTGCTACGCAAACTTAATTGTCTGAGAGAATGAGGTTTATTATTATTATTATTATCTATTCTGCTATGCAAACTTAACTGTTTAAGAGAACAAGCATGTAGAGAGATAGACCAAAACATATTTATTATTATTATTATTATTATTATTATTATCATCATCATTATTATCATCATTATTATTATCATCATCATTATTATTAATATTGATTCCTTGGATTTAAATTGTTTTATGTTAAGTAGTCGCAAACAATTTATATGGGCTGAAATTAAACAAACACACAATTAAAAAACAATTAAGTTGAACATTAATAAATTTAATTTGTTCCAATTCAGCCCATATAAATTGTTTTACTTGATATTTATGCTGCTTATTTATGAAACTAAATTAACCTGAGAAAATAACATAATTATTTCTAATGGTAAACACATTGAGTTCATTTGACTTGTATACCTTTATAAGTGTAATTATTTGTATCATTGTAAACCTTTATAAGTGTCATTTATTTATAGTTTTTTGTATCTTTATTACTTTGATGTAATTATATTCCATATTTTATACACAATGAAAATGCTTTGGCAAAACAAAATTGATTTACTTGAACTTGATCTTGATTTTTACTCAAGTAATAAAAGTAAAAGTACTTACTGATACCCTAATTGTTTATCTTGCAGGCTGAATTACCAAAACTTGTCATGCTCTGATAACCACACTGATATTTCATCAGGATAATTCATGAGAAAACATATAAAACCACATTCACACACGGAAGCCCATTCAGATCAGTTGAGTAAAGTCAGCAAATCAAAGTCAGCTAGTCATTTACTAAAGACTCACTCTAAATGGATCTTTAAATCAGTGAGTCATTTACTAAAGACTCATTCTAAGTGGATCTTTGAATCTGTGAGCTGTTTATTGAAGACTCACTCTAAATCAGTGTTTCTTAACCACGATCCTGGAAGACCACCAACATTCCATGTTTTGGATGTCTCCTTTGTCTGTCACACCCATTACAGGTCTTTCAGTCTCTGCTAATGAGCTGATGATCTGAATCAGGTGTGTTTGTTTAAAGAGACATTGAAAAAGTGCTGAGCTGGTGGGCCTCAAGGAACGTGGTTTAGAAACACAGCTCTAAATGGATCTTTGAATCAGTGAGCTGTTTATTGGAGATTCACTCTGAACAAATCATTTGAATCAGTGAGTCATTTACCAGAGACTCACTCTGAATAGATCATTTGAAGCAGTGACTTGTTTACTGCTTATTCTAAATGGATCTTTGAATCAGTGAGCTGTTTATTGGAGATTCACTCTGAACAGATCATTTGAATTAGTGAGTCATTTACCAGAGACACACTCTGAATGGATCATTTGAATCACCAAGTTATTTAACAATGACTCACTCTGAACAGTTCATTTGAATCAGTGAGTTGTTTACCGGAAACTTGTTCTAAACAAATTATTTGAATCAGTGAGTTGTTTACCGGAGATTTACTCTGAACAAATCATTTAATTCAGTGAGTTGATTAACAGCGACTCATTCTGCACGGATCATTTGACTCAATGAGTTGTTTAAAGGAGAGCCGCTCTGAATAGA